TTCTGCATATAAGAGAAGGAAGACTTTTACTTTCATCAAAATTTGAAAATATTGTGAATGTTTCAAACAAAAAAATACCATATGCTCCATGTTTGAGCTTGGAATGACGTCGCTTACGTATCGTCCGAAAAATTATTAGAGATATTCAACAAGACAAATGGGAGTCTGCCGGTTCTGTGCCGCCGTCTTATGATTTTTTCTACAGTGGCAAGTTGTAGATTCTTCAATTCTCTATCATTCGATGCAAAATACAAGTTGAAATATTTATTCTTGTCATTAGACAAATTTGACATATTTTTGACATTTCTGACATATTTGTAACGGCGTCTGCTTCGATAACGACTTCGTCTGCTAGAAATCTGAAATCACATTGATATACACAACCAAAAACATAACAAATGTACCGAATTTCAGCCTGGAATAACATTATTCAGATATCGTCCAGAAAAAAAATAAGGGAACCACTTCACATGACAAATGGGCGTCTGCTGGCTCCGGACCGCCGTCTGCTGATTTTTTCTCTCAAGAAAACCTGTAGATATTTCCATTGTCTATCATTTGATACGAAATACAAGTTGGAATATTTATTCTTGTCATTTGACATTTTTGACATATTTTTGACGGCGTCTGCTTCGATAACGACTTCGTCTGCTCGAAATCTGAAATCACAGTGATATTCACAACCAAAAACATAACAAATGTACCGGATTTCAGCCTGGAATAACATCATTCAGATATCGTCCAGAAGAAATAAGGGAACCAGTTCACATGACAAATGGGCGTCTGCCGGCTCTGGACCGCCGTCTGCTGATTTTTTCTCCCAAGAAAACCTGTAGATATTTCTATTGTCTATCATTTGATGCGAAATGCAAGTTGGAATATTCATTTTTGTCATTTGACATTTTTGACATATTTTTGACGGCGTCTGCTACGATAACGCCCCCGTCTGCTCAAAATCTGAAAGCACAGTTTTATTCACAATCACAAAGGGAACGTTTGTCCAGATTTCCAGTCTGGAAGAACTACTTTAATCTATTGACAAAAAAATTGACCTTTCAACACCCCCTCCTGAATTAATGCCCCCACTTGAAGGTGGCAGACGGGTGGTGTTATACTTACTATTGTGGGGTACTTCAATCAAAACCATCATACCTTTGGAATATTTACTTTAACCATTTTTCACGCGAGCTCTTGGTCACTGGAACAAAGAAGAGATATTTTGGAGTGCTATTTTTCAGTTAATAAAAATCTTGCTGAAACACTTACACTTATACTTACTTACATTTAATCTTTCAGATATGACAAGACAATATTCAATCCGCTTCTCATTATCATCATAATTGAGTTTGTGGCATGGTCTAATTCTGAAATCCCTATATTTATAACTCCTTAAGGTATGTTGAACAAAATAATAGCTGGAACGAAACTCTCTCACTGCATTTCTTATTGACCGTGAAGGATCCTCAACAAAATACTGGATTACAAGAGGTTCCTCGTCTTCGTTGTCTTGCCTTCTCACTATCCTCTTGATATTCGACAAACTGGAAGTTTTGTCAAATTCAGCAGCCAAATACTTTACATGATTCTTACTTGGTAATCTCCTGCCTGGATAACTCCTCATAAACTTATGAAGTGTTTTAGCAAGATTTTTATTAACTGAAAAATAGCACTCCAAAATATCTCTTCTTTGTTCCAGTGGATATGGCATGGTGAAAAAATGGTCGAAAATTTGCGCACTAATGTCACTGAAATGTTGACCAGATGTCAATTCACTTATTCATCATCTCATTCTATTCCAACCATAGCTAACTTGGACCAAATATTAATATTTAATTTTGCTGATATTTCCTCAAGCACTTGATAGAATGTATGAAAAGTATATATTTTCAAAATCAGGAAAGATAGCTCTTTCGAAATATGCGATAATATACAGAGGGTACCATTTGAAAAAAAAAAAATTTTTTCACATACCCTGTATATGAAATGATAAAATCAAGCAGAGAACACATTTTCCAGTATGAAATGACATCTCATTCAAGTAACTCTTTTCAAATTTCAAATATCTTTTTTCGTTTTCGAGATATCAGCTGTTGAAGTCGAGAAATCCATAGTCAATCACCCTGTACATATATGGTTGTGAATAAAAATGATAGATTCGATAAGTTAGTTTCAAATTCACTTATTTATAACCAATACGTGTTCAAATTGTGAATCTGTATATTATTATGCGAAGAAGAATCAATTGATATAAAAGTAAGTAGCTGAAAACAGGCTTGCATACTGGTTGAAAATAATGTGTCGGCGACATTTTCGCATCATTTCGAATACCGTTGTGCTTATTCCACTACTAGTTCGAATTGGTAGGTTTTTGCACGTGAAAAAAATTCAAGTGAGAGATATTCGTAAAAAACAGCAAAATTTTCGCACTTTCCTCAGTGTTTCGCAAGTAACTCGAAAACTATTCATTTTTGCGGGAAGACTATCGCATAATGAAATGAAGTGAATGAAATTTTATATATTTGGATATTCGTGCACATTGATTAAGGACCAACGGGTGAGAAGGTTGAGCAAGTTGAAAATAGACCACATTTGCGTACTTTGCAAAAAACAGCGTTCCTCGTCGGTTCTCGTTGATAATTCATAATCTGCTCATTTCTAAAAGGAATAAACTACACTACCTGATGTGAAGAGAAGTCCTTGCTATGTGAGCTATGTTTCTTGTCAGCAAATAACCGATTTGTCACAGTACTTGATGGGTATATTCACATCAACTTGGTAGATTAATATTTTTCAAACCTGCCTCTTGTTATTCGTTGACAGACGAAAAAAATCGAGTTCTCCTTCCATACCATCAGATAGAGGATGTGAGTACCCTGCACGATCTGCCCCACCTGCACCATCACCACTCCCAGAAAATAATCTTTCACGGTACCAGGCACCAGTTGAGTTTTCCACCTCAGCAAGTATGAGGTGGACCTGTTCTATGTGAGTCAGCCATCGGCGGACTAGTACATTACATACAATGTTCTAACTCGTCGATGGAGTACTATAGTAACTGAGGAGATAAAGCAAGTTAAAATTTGAAAAAGAAGGTTCTTTGCAAAAAATTGCGATTGTGGTCATCAGTTTTTCGTAGAATTGTTATAGCTAGGTATTACTCGAGAGAACAGATCATGGACAATTTGAGAGATCATCGAGTTCACTATGAAGCTCATGTGGAGTTTGTTGATATGCGAGAAGGTGGGCCTATTTGTAAGATTGCTCAGACATGGAGACAACTAGTATGATTCGTCTGATTCGAATAAACAGATCACAGAGTTTTATTATTGTATGCTGTGTGGTGATGAGTATTCTCCATGCACTCCGATGAAAAACGGATAATAACTATCTAAACAAATAATCCATTTCATGATAAATGAGTATTGAAACAATATTCGCTAACACGCATAACCCATTCATTGGTCCTGAGACTTCCTGTGGGACAGGAAAATGTCATATAATCACATAACTAAGGAGATGGAAAGATTGAACAATGAAGGTCATCAACGACCACTGAGTCTCAGCAACCAAATCTGAGGCACCGCCCTCTGAGGTATTATTACAAAAATGAGCCTAGCGGAGACTCAATCTCCCTATCTATAGGGATATAATAGATAATTGAATGAGGGTCAATCCTATAATCTACAATCTAATTGTCGCTTCTTCGTCGTTTGGCTGGGGGCTGGTACCCTGAAACCCCCGATTCTGGAGGTAGTGATGAGGATATTCTCATCCTCTACCCAGTAGTATATGAGAGGAACTTTTTTCTATCCTCTGCTATCAAAAAACAAGAGGCAGGTAAGAAAAACATTATTTTTCCTAGTTGATGTGAATACAGAGAAGTGCTCAAAAAACGGCCAGGATTGTAATTTTTGAATTATTCGGGATATGGTTCCGAAAATTTGTGGGTTGCGTTCGAAGTTCCCAAATGCTCAGTGGGTGTGTGGCAAAATCAAAACTTCTTTCTCTGTCACACTCAGTGTGCATATGGAAACTTAGAATGCGAATATCTATAACCAGTACTCTAATTGTTTGACATTAAGTCACAGTGACAATTCAATGATCAAAATATATGAATCAAGTTCCGACGTTCCTTTTTCTAGTGATTTTCTGTCTCATTCAACTTGCGATGAATAAAAAGAAACAGATTTTGCCTTGGTGTATTTCCACGACTATACGTAATCATTTGAAATTATCCTTTCAAACCTGGTATCGAATTCAATACAAGGTGTCCCTTGAAAAAATCAAAACTTGGGGTTGGTTCCAGTGAAACCAGAAGTAATAGAACGAGAATTGTTTCGTCAATTGATGAGCAATTTGGTATACTAGCTGCCTACCAATTTTGAAAACCCTATCTCTAATAATTCAAAAGTTACATTCCTGACCGTTTTTTGTGCACTTTTCTGTATACCTAGGAACCGTGACAAATCAAGAATCGAGTAATACGCTAACAAAAACAATAACTCACATTCCAGTTCAGTATGTTCCTTCTAAAAATGCGTCAGTTATGAATTATCTACGAGAACCAATGAAAAACACTATTTTTTGCAAAATACGCAAACTTGGTCTATTTTTGACTTGCTCTAGCTCCTCACCCGTTTGTCCTGAATTGATGAGCAAGGGGAATTATATATAGAAAATTTCATCTTCTTCAACTTCATAGGTGATGGTCTTTCGGCTGAAATTTATATAGTTTCAGAGTTATGGTCGAAAAGCTGAAATATGTACAAAAATTTTGCTGTTTTTTGCAAATATCATGGAATGCCTCAGGAAATTTCGATTGCAAACTTCATATTCAGATCCAGCACCTCCAAAAACATATTGAACTGTAGAGAAACCAACTCTCTGAATTTTTCCATGAGAAGATGTTCATCGTTACCGTTTTACTGAGCTATTCTTAATTTCGACGTGAGTGAACTAGGATTCGATTCCTATATAACCTTGCAGAAGAAACAACTCACCTTCAGCGTATCCGCCTTGAGTCCCTGCCAGGGTAGCGACCCCCTCAAAAAGTACATGAACATGTGGCCCATCGCCTCTAAATCATCCCTGCGGGACTGTTCGTGGCCCAGATGAGTGTTTATGCTCATGTAACGGGCAGTTCCGGTTAGAGATTTATGCTCCCTGAAACATCGGTTGGCTGCGGTTAACTTTCACGGTGGTGACAAGCCGGCAAGGGAATATACAATTGTCAGATATTATGTACCTAGCTGGTGAATTAAAATTTCGACGACTACTAGTTGGTATGAATATGTCAAATTTGGAAATCTTTATTGCTTATACATACATAATTATACATAATTACATACAGAGTAGCAGAGTATTGATAGATTCAAAAATATCGGACCAGGCTGATAGCTACCTAAGCAGTCATCAACCTGGATTGAATAGTATAAAGTATACCAGATACTGCTGGCTGAATATACAGTGTGTCCACCTTAAGGACTCACCACCCCTGTAAAATCGTTATTATCCGACCAATTTCCAAAAACCTTTTTTTGTTGGATAGATATTTGAAATGCCCAGCCAACGAGAGAGTGATCTAATTCTTGGACTGTTATCATGGCCAGCTGCGACAAATTTCAATGACCCATATTCCAGAAAGTACTATTAGAGATTTTTTTTCACGAAACTTGATGACGGATTCTGAATCAGTACCACTTGAAATATACCTGTACCGATTTTCATCATCATAAAACACAGGGTGTCCGAAAAAACGAATCATCATTTTCTTCAAATATGTGATCAGCAAATGTAGTTCTGTGTTTTTTCTTGAAAGAAATGATCACAAATTATCATTGGAGATTACTTCAAATATACCTGTATCAATTTTCGTCATTTGAATATACAATGTGTCTGAGAAAAAAATTAAAAAGGATAGGTAAGCAACATTTTTCATCCTGATAATTCTTCACTCGAAATAAAAAGATGAATCAGGATCACTTGGAACTTACCTGTACCGATTTTCATCATCATCAAACACAGGGTGTTCGAAAAATCGAATCATTAATTTTTTTGAATTAATGAAAAAATATTGCCTACTTTTTCTTTTTAATTGTTTTCTCATACACATCGTATTTTTAAATGATGAAAATCGGTACAGATATGTTCAAAGTGATCCTCAATAATAATGTGTCATCAATTCTTCTCAAAAATACCACAATATTACATTTTCTGATCACCTATTAAAAAAAAACATAATTCGTTTTTTCGGACACCCTGTGTTTTATGATGATGGAAATCAGTAAAGGTGTTTTTCAAGTGATTGTGATTCAGAATCCATCATTGATTTTTTTGAAAAAAAATCCCTAATAGTACTTTCCCAAATATGGGTCAATAAAGTTGGTCGCAGTTGGCCACGATTACAGTTCATGAGTGAAATCACTCTCTTGTTGGATTGGCATTTCAAATACCTATCCAACAAGAGAAAGTTTTTTGGAATCGGTCAGATAATAACAATTTTACAGGGGTGGTTAGTCCTTAAGGTGGACACACTGTATATATATACATGAATATAAACATTTCACATGAGAGTTGGGAAAGTTATGAGGGGAGAGGAAATATAGCACCTTGAACATATTATAGAAATTGATATTGATAGATAGTTAATCAAGAGTTGAGATGGGGACATGTAAGCCGTTTTGACCAATAAGGAATAGTTTCGACAAAAAAAATCCTAAAGTTGAAAAATGACGATTTTTCACATCCTATATCTCTGTAATCATTTCCGGAAGACCCCAAGTGTGATGCATCGATGGAATTAGCTCTTCAGAGAGAATCTGAAAATGTAATAAAATACAGGATGATCCATTCAAAATAACAAAGTTGTTGCTACTTTTCGATAGAAGTGGCAACACCGCAGAGCTGGAAGTATTTTAGATCGATAGACCAAGAGCAACTACGTAAGTAACTGAAATTTCAGAATGATCCTCTGTCCCGTTCTCCATAAACGTCTAACGTACCATCGACCGTGAGTTACGCTATATAATAGTTCTAATTTTCGTGTGTTTTTGTAATGATTCTCCAGTAGGTTTTTGAAATTCATATTATTTAATCTGCAAAGTGAAATGTGATCGTCGATAGCTTCGTCATTTTTGAATTTAGGTCGAACGTCCAGAAAACATTTCTTGTTCATAATCGAATTTCCCATCGATAGAGAATATTGTATACTGAGTGTCATATAGAAATAAATTGTACATTTTGACGTAACTTGTTAACGCGATGTTAGATTTCTCTTCAGATATCGTCATCGTAATCAGTGGAGAAAATACCATACCAGTTTGTCCAATCAACTGACTGTATTTTCCATAATAACCAAGTTAGCAATAGTGCCGACTTGAGTTGTTCGCATGGAAAATTTCAATAATCTCTCTTCATAATGGTTGATGCTGATCTCGCTGAATTGACGTTGGTATACGGCATATTTAAGCTTGCCCTCAATTGCAATTTACACCCTCAAATGTGTCTGCCTAAATTAACGTTGAACATGAAACACTGTTAGCACACCAAGAGTCGGCCATACTGATGTAACGTATTTTAGTTGATTTTTCAACCTATCTCTCTCATGTTGCATTTGCGCGGCCCACATCATTATAACAGAAGCCAAGCATACTTCCGAATCAATTAAGAGTGATGAATGGATTCGAATGGCATTGGATATTTTCTAATTCTGTTGACTTCAATAAACTGCTGCTCGATGGAAGACTTCGCTCCAAGTTTCCCACCCAAAAACCTCTATACCAATGTAGGAGCAACATTATGGAAGTTTGAATGCTCGAATAGCTTTATTTTGATGAAATCTGATTGTAGTTTTCTATAGTTATTGGATGGTATAAGAGTTCAGACACAGCTGAACTTCTGTCCTTTTTTATTTTCTATATTACATCGGTTTGAGTTAATAAAAGAATAAGACATAATATTCTGATTGTCAGCTACGATTTTATAAGTTAGATTTTCTGTCAAATCAATCATACCCGGGGATGGAAAATAGAAAGGAGGTATAAACACCCACTTTGATTTATAGAATTATACTTTTCGAGGGACAGCAGTTGAAACAGTGGAAATAACGCATATTTAACAACAGGTTCGTTCTCAAATTTTCAATTCCATTACAAAAAAAGGTTCCCTTCCGTGTGCACCAAGCGATGAAAAAATGGTATCGGAAAATCTTGAAATCTGTCGTTTGGAAATGGGCCTTAAGTACAATTCCATCATAATCTGCAGTTATTAGAAGTGAATTCTAATGTACCTACCTCACAAATTTTGCTTGTCTTCAAATTGATTTTTCATCCAGGCCGTTTCATATACTTATATTTCTTTCATAAGAGAACGGCTAATATTACCTTTTGAAAATTAAATGAATGAAATCGATCCTTTCAGAAAACCCACAATTCATTACACAGCAGGACATTTTCATTTATGCTTCTTTCTCAATAGTTTATGAAATTATATTTCCATTCTGACGTTCATTAACGTTATTGTCAAAATCAAACAATTTTAATGTATAGTATGCATAAGTATTTTCTGATATTATTTGTTTTGCATGAATTTGAAAGAAACTACTATATCATTATGTACATTGAAGCGTGCGTATATGCCATCATAGCTGAGAGCTGAAGATAATAGGTTTGTTTATACGCTACCATCCCTGATCGAATAGTTTGATTATAAACGTATATAAATAATATTCGTTAACTGATACTAAATTTGTTATTGTTATAAGGCTTATAGAAACACCCCCTCGGGGTGATACACGACTGGTGGTAATACATCAAGAAATTCAATAAAACAATTAGATATTTTTCTGAAATGAAGACATTGAATTATATCAGCGAACATAATATTTATTTATTATCAATAATATGTTTCTTTTCATGCTGCACCTATACTTATAAATGAATATTTGGTAACTTGAAACAAAGATTTTGAAATAATATATATCGTTTGGTGTGGGTGAAGAAATATATATTCTCAGATAATAAATGAATATTATCATGAAATAATCATAATATAACCATGCACGAGGCTTATTCATGGGGGTGTGAACAAATAATTTGTTTTTTTCAAACAAACGTTCAATAAGCCATATTTCTATAACGGATTTGGTAACAGTTAATCATATTTATTTATCATAACCAAACTGTTCTTCCAGTGTAGGATGATATTATGCAGAAAGATTTGAAAAATGAATGATCAATCAAAAATGCTATCATATCCCATTTGGAATACAGAGATGGAGCTCCTTTTTGATATAAGCGGCAACGCTGAATCGCTGGAAATATTTGAATTCTTCAGATAACGAGCGCTTATTGGAGTAGCAAAATTTTTTGAATACCTATGCCAATATCACATCAACCGTGAGACATCTTGGATATCTATAATTATTTTCCGTATTTTCAATATATACGAGTGGTATTGTGTTGCACATACTTGAACGGTATGTGTTTTCCAGTGTCGACATCAATGTATTCCTTGGCCAATCCGAAGTCGATTATATGTATTATCTTATCCTTCTTGTTCCTCGACCTTCCAATCAGGAAATTTTCGGGCTTCACATCTCTGAAGATGAGTCTCTTACTATGCACGTATTCTATTCTCGTAATCAGCTGATCTGCGATCATGAGGACAGTTTTGAGCCTGAATCGTCTACTGCAAAGAGAGAACAGATCTTCCAAGCTAGGGCCGAGCAGTTCCATCACCAATGCGTTGTATCTTCCACCGCATGTAGCCAAATGATATACTTTGCCTATACCTAAGAAACAACAGGGAATTAGCGAAAGAGAGATGTGCTGTGGTGATGTTGTTATATACGAGGTAATGTGGCAATTTACGCGAAGACAAAGTAAGAAAATCAGATGGTGCAAGTATCTGTGACGGGTCAATATAATTGATTAATTTCAGACTTTCGCTGAAGCCTCAACACTCACGAATGGTTTCAATGATGATAATTATTATTATCAAAATCAAATTGTAGGAACCAAAAAGTGCTTTTAACTTTAATGCTTCATTCAAACGACATGATTGCAGATGACACTACAATATCGTCACACAACAAAAACTTGAACTAATTGCATTATTAAAATCTCTATTTCCTACATTACGCTGTGATTCTAATTATCTATCATTATCTTCAAATTCACGACAAGTTCTCATTATGAAACCTAGCATTTTATAACCTTTTTATACAATGTAAAATATATGCTTATCGAAAAGCATTTTTGAATCGAATATAATTCCTAAATCCTTAATTTCTGTAACAGTTTGTAAGGGACGAGAAGATATTTGATAAGAGTGATTTAAAATGCTTTTTCTGCGTCCGAACGAAATCTGGTAACACTTCTCAAAGTTAATGTATAGACTATTCAGCTCACAGTAATCATGAAAACGATTGATATCCTGATGCAATAGTTTGATGTCGTCAGCATCAGAAATTGAGTGGTTTATTTTTAGATCATCCTCATACATTAAAAAATTGAAGAATCGAAAACATTGATATACAGGGTGTCCCTAGACCAGTGGGACAATTAAATATCTTCTGAACCAATAGAAATTTTCAAAATGTTATAATTATACATCATATCGCATCATGAGTGCTAACTTCAGGAATGACTATATTTTATATGAGGGGCGCAAGAAAGGCTCACAAAATCGAACATCATTTTTTTCAAATGGAACACCCTGTATTCCATTGCATTTCCATATTTTCCTTGAAGAGCTGAATTCAACGACCTAGCACACTTGGGGTCTAGCGGGAATGATTTCCGAGATATAGGGTGTGGAAAATCGAGATTTTTCATTTTTGGGAATTTTTTGTGTCAAAAATATTCATTATTGGTCAAAACGGCTTACATGTCTATATCTCAACTTTTGATTTACTATCTACTCGTATTTAATTGAAACAAATACAGGGTGGTATAGAATTCTGACTGAAACTGAGAATTCTACACCACCCTGTATTTGTTTCAATTAAATACGAGTAAATAGTAAATCGAAAGTTAAGATATGAACATGTAAGCCGTTTGACCAATAATGAATAGTTTTGACACAAAAAATTCCCAAAAATGAAAAATCTCGTTTTTCCACACCCTATATCTCAGAAATCATTCCCTCTAGACCCCAAGTGTGCTAGGTCGTTGATTTCAGCTCTCAAAGGAGAATATGAAAATGCAATGAAATACAGGGTGTAGCTTTTGAAACAATTGATGTTCGATTTTGTGAGCCTTTCTTGCGCACCTCGAATAAAATATAGTCATTTCTGAAGTTAGCCCTCATATTGCGATAATTCCTATTGGTTCAGGAGATATTCAACTGTCCCACTGGTCTAGGAACACCCTGTATATCGTTAATATAAATATTGAATAATAGTGGCCTCAGATGAGATCCTTGAGGTACTCCAGAGATGATTTGATGATATTCAGATTTCTGATTAGCGATTGTTACTGCTTGACAGCGAATTACCATCTATTTCGGCACCAGCAAGTTTCTGTAACAAAACAGAGTGATCAATTTTGTCAAACGCCTTGCTGAAGTCGGTATAGATAGCATCAACTTTCTGTTTGTGTCATTGAGCCTGTGTAGAATATACTGAGTGTAGGTAAATAAGTTGGAATCAACTGAACTCTTTTTCATGAAGCCATGTTGTTCAATGTTGATTATGTTTTTAACGTCGAAGAACAGCTTGTCGAAAATAATTCAAAAATTTTCGCTCTGATTGACAATTTTGAAATCGGTCTATAATTTTTCACGAGTAGTTTGTTACCGGATTTCAAGATTGGGATTATATGAGCTTTCTTCCAAACTGAAGGAAATACACCTTCTTCCAGAGATAATGTAGAGTGGGATTGCGATATATTCAGCACTGTTTTTGAGGAATGATGTCGTTATCTCATCTGGTCCCACTCCTCTATTCGAAAGACTTTAAAGTTTTTGAATAATAGATTTCAAGGATATATTATAGGAACAAATGTTATATTATATGATTCTCGATGTGTTACTATCTGAACAGGAAGAATTCTTTTTGGAATAAAAACCGAGAGGAAATATCTTGCAAATTTCGTTAGAGCTTGTAATTATCCTATCTCCATCTCTCAGAGGGAACAAAGTATTAAATATAAATGTCCTCCGTATATACAACAATATTGTTTTCTATGACAGGCAAAACGACGATTCAATATTGAGAAGATATTACATTATATTGAAATCAGAAAACTATCGAATATGAAATTTGAAGTTTCCAACCAGTAATTAGATTGCGAAAATCACACCTGCGTTGCTTAGTCGGACATTCAATACTCGATTTTTCCATTTCAGCAAATAATACAGATGCTGTTGGATAACTCACTACTCACTTAGGGATTCGTGGTACTGAACAATTGAATTGCATAATTAGTTAGATGGTTGATTTCTGTTAGTGGATATTATTCAGAATCGTAGGTGAAATTTCATTTTGTATTGAATTACAGTGCAATTATTTATGACATTCAGTCTTGAATCCCTCTCAGTAAATTAAGAGTTCAGGTACTCACCCATATATGTACCTACCTATACCTACCATAGGAAAAGAAACACATTCTGAATCAATCAATACTGAATTGCTTACAGAGTCCTATTTCTATTGATTTTGGTACAAGCATCACTGCCTTCTTGTCAATAATATTGAGAAATCAGAGAAGTGAAGTTATGTATACACAGTATAAAATCGCTTCGAGTTAAATTCGCAGAGTATGTTTTTAGAGTTAAAATACTCTTGCAAACTCACTCTGATACTGCAATCAACTCTATAACTACACTTCTCGCAGATTATCTCTATTGAAGATAATTCTAGATTGAATTTTCACTAATGTCGTATTGAATTTACTCTATATTCCTAAAATTTTAATAAAATAGCGATTCAGATAACTCAATTCACTAACAATTGAGATTGAATTCATACTAGTGTTAACTGACACTAGTGAACTTGAATGTTCCACTCGTGTCGATCAAATTGACACTCTATCATTGTTCAATTCAATCTATATACGATGAAATATCAATCTATACAGGTTCAGATCGTTCAGTCTACTGGATAGTGGAATAAGTAATACTGATATAGTGTCAATGATATAATGATCATGATATTAGCTTAAGTAGCTTTTTCACTTTACCCACGTAGTGAGAGATTTTTCTCAATATTGAGTTATTAACGTATTTTCGTATATACCTATCTCAGTTATCTTCCGTTTTTTCCGTTTCGAATTATTATTTCGAACGATTCATGAAACAGATTGGTTAACTAAGTAGTCTAGTGGGACGCGAGTCATTTTTCAAATATCAAACTATTGAAATATTATAAAGTCACACTACTTCTCATCCGTCAATTCGCGCCACTGCATGCAGGTGGCGCTGCAGAGACTAGGCCGAGATTTCGCCGCTGAACGTCTGTCGGAGTCCAATAAATACTGTGACATGTGAAATAATGGTTAATCAACTTGGATGAAATCTCAATAGGAAGTAGTAACTAGTTTACTCAACTAGTGTTTTATATCAATCTAAAATGATGAATAAATAATAACTCCTTATTAGCACCTAAACATATGGTAGTGTCAATTTGAAGAATGCAGGAGTCATTTGACATACAGGTAGTGTAATTAATACAATCAATTTCCGGTGGATCCGACACTGTTCATAGTGTGAAATCTACTTTGTACTATTATATTCCCAACTCTCTCAACCTTTGTGACTATGTAATATTCAGTTATTGAATTTCACTCTGAAGTGATGATATTGACACTAGCTTGGGGTCTTTCAACTCTATTTTTGTGTTCATTCAATATATTTAGAGAAATAAATAGAGTAAGTTTCAATGTGCTTCCATTGAACATTTACACTAATTGAATTGAAAAAATCACACTATAATATAATAAACTATAGAGTTGAATTATTACTCTAGAGCTTAGTGGTCCTCCTGGGAACAGGTATAGTGTTATATTTCACTCTATTTTTTTTACTGTGTAGTGTTTGGACGTTTAGATCATACGTTCATATGAAACTATCTTTTTAGAATGGGCCCAAGAATCACCTTCTCGAATATTGATATTGTTGTTGTTGTTCTTTATTACCCCATGAAACATATTCGTTTATAATAGGGATACATAAACATATGATATATATATATAAAACAATAAAAAAAAACTAATTAACAAGTTATGTCAATATAACATAATAATTAAAATAAAACCATTCCAAGTATTCAAATGAGAATAAATTGCTCCGTTTATTGTGTCATGAGTATATATTTTTTCATATTGACTTTGAATCTTGTTTCATCATCAATGTGTTTCAAATCATAAGGTGATGAATTCTATGAAATGATTCCGTTGTAGAATACTGATTGTTTGCCAATGATGGAGTTATATGGGTTTGCTATTAATGAATTCAACTGTCTCGTTGCATGAGTATGAATTGTATTTACTTCAGTAAAGTTCAAGTTGGATATTTTTATTTTTTTTCTCACAAAATGGATGGAAGAACAAATTTTCATTTTATTTAAAAATGATAAATTCAACAGATTCTTTGGTTTTTAAAGATTAATAGTTGGTTCCAGGTAATGTAAATTGTGAATTAAATATTGTAATTTTGAGTAAATCAGACAGAAATATATATTCTTCAAATATCTAAGAGGAATGAAATTTCGAATTTTGTATAAAATGCCAGTAATTGGATTGAGCTTTTTTCTCAGGTGATCTATATGTTTAGTCCACGATAATTGTTCATCAATATAAAGACCTAAGAATTTTGTAATATCTAAATATTCAATTATAAAACACCCTGTATACAGTTTATATTCACACTACTTATGTGAATTCACATGTAAAATGTTGGAATTCGATCATTCACGTGAATCAAATCTACCTTCTTGTTGTCCCAACATCTTGTAGAATCTGTACTCCAAATGTAACTGCGGCGCTTTCGACTTGAGCGGTTCCAATTTTATGGCAACATGTTCATTATTGTACAGGTTCTTGCCCAACCTTATCTCACCGAAATTTCCACTTCCGATTTTCTTGCCAACCCTAAAATTAGGGCCAACCATTAAAACACCAGAAGTGGAAGAATTTCTTGAACTTCTGTTCTGCATTTTGGCTTTGGTTATCAAATTATGATTTTCTAAAATTGAAAAAAAAAATAGTTACCGATAATACTGAATAGATGATTTGAAATTGGAAGGTAATGCTGCAATTTTGGTGGCGAATGGTATCCTCATCATATTGCTTCGGATTTATTCATTTTTCAGTAGACATATAAGTAATTACTTTTCGATTTTTCTTTGTTAACGCTCATACCTTCAGTTCGTGGGAATTCCTTAACAGTAGTTGAGTTTCCTTTTTCTGTTTTGCTACTGAACTTCAGTTTCAGGAAATTCATTTTATTTGAGCATTTACATTAATGATGGACCGTCCTAGAAAGTATATTTCAACTAATAAGTGATATAGGATATTTAATATCATACTCACCAGTGTGGACTGTCCGGTTACTTCAACTTTTTCAATCTAAATAAAAAGGAGTTCCATGTTTTTTCCGAAATGTATCATGAAGTCGAAGTAAATGATGACCGATCACTGAAACCGGGAATTTTGACAAATTGATTTGTCAATATGGACATTTACGTCAAAATTGATGCATAAAAAAATTCCGCTCATTACATAGAATGTACAGAGTGGCAGGAACGATTGGGTATTGAATACACTATGCAGGGTATTTCAATAATCGAATATGAATATTAGAGAAAGGAAATTCTATCTGTGCTTCAGGATGAAATTGCAGATATCCATGGGTCTCTATTCGGCTTTATACAAGGTGTCTGGCCCATGAACCACAATCTAGCTAGGGATAATAGTAGATTGTTTTATCAGGAACAAAACTGACACTTTGTTTGATAAGCAAAATTTGCGAGTCAAACAATGTCACTTTCGATCCGAATGAAACATGCTATTTTCTCTGCAACCGGAACAATCAACTCGAATAAATATGTGAAGTAACCACCAATGCCGTGCCATATACAGGGTGGAGACTTTTACTGGGTGAAATTCGCTACTGGGGAAGTGAATGATTTTTCTGAAAATTCGCAAGACACGTCAACGTTTGAATGTTTTTTCCTATATTTGACAATCAATATATAACCCTTCAGGGATAACTATAATCAACCCCAACATGTTTTTTCAAATGCAACCCTATATATGGCTTGCAACCCCTCATTGGAAAGCTGGTTGACAGAGGAATCCAGCGTACTGATCATTTTTCAGTTTGCGGGGGTCGCATAAAATCAAAATATAATTTCAAACTTCGATTTATTTTCAACGTATTTTCGTCAAAATTCTGACGTGACGGTGATATAGGGCATCTTCACCAGTTTGCAATAACACTTCGTTACGAACTATGAATACGAAAAAACGAAATTCCTCTTTGCGGCTCTATAAAAACACTGTTGTGGCGAAAAAATTGCCATCAATTCTTCAACACATTTTGAGCGATTGTTTCGTTGGAGAAGAATGGATTTTGAAATTACATTCCAATTCTAAGCAACATTTGAACGTAAGGAAAACTAAAATTGAAATAGTAAGCTGGATTCCTTTTTCCACCAGCTTTCTAATGAGGGGTCACAAGCTGTTGCATTAGTTTGAGCTACCCCTGGAGAGATATTTTCTCGATACTGCTCGCAAAAGTTAGGTAAATACATTAAATCGTTGACATATGCCGGGAATTTTCAGAAGAAATATTCACCTTACCGCTAACGAATTTATTCCAGTAAAAGTCTCTACCCTGTACATATATGCAATGGAACAAATGATCCGTGCGGTGAGAATATTCAACCTGCATCAACAGCAGGTTCATTCAATTTTCAAGGATGTTCGAATTGTAGTTTCGATATAAATACAACCACATAGAGTAACATATTTGTGTTTGGACCAGGTGCTATTTATAATAGCAAATACCGCGCCAGTGCCAGGTATAGAAAAAGACGTGGAAAATGTTAGGTTAATGAGCATATTAACAATAATAATAGCGATTATGAATTTCTCTCCATACTCCACTGTGTTTGGCTCGAAATCGGATGAAAATAAACAAAATCGTTGTTTGAGAAGAAAAAAAATTTATGGCCGTGATTATTCAGAATCAAGTTATCTATTTCGAGAATATAGAATAAAATACATATAAAGCAAGTGTGTGAATCATGAAGGCGTCCCAGATCAAAACGAGAATAATCAACCATAATGAAATGTATTGTTACGTTATTCGGGTGCAGAAGCGAACACTACACTATTTATTTTCGAACTGATTCATTTGAACTGGAGGAACAATAATTTATATCGAAATTTATTTACTATTTATGTAAAACGATTTATAACACGCGGTAAAAGACTGTCCCTCTG